AATTTCATCTTGAGCGTAAAACAATTTTGATTTCTTTCTGAAATTAAATTTCAGAACATCCGAATATTTTCACAACGTTTATTTTCACGCCATTTTCAAGATCATGATTCATTTCAATCAATGTTCAATAATGGGAATTATATACCGGCCTTCTCCAATTCCTTCATGTACTTTCCAACAGTCGGATTCATCTTGTCGAACGCAGTTTTCCAGACCTTAGTGTCCACACCCGAACCCATTTTGTCAATAAAAATATCCGTGGCAACCTGTTGAAAAAAATTAAGACACGTTCATATATTATCAGGGGAAAAGAAGGAAAACGTCGCATTGTCAAACCTTCAGATCCTTTTCATTAATGTTGAGTCGTCTGTGCCTGTATGCTAATCTGTGGCACACTTCGTCGATCATTTGAGTGTCCTCGATATTTTCAGCCATGGCTCCAACGGCCCGAGTGAACATGAGAGAATGGCAATGAAGGGCCTTGTTTGAATTGAGCTTGTCGTTTGAAACATCCTTGATCCTCCAGAACTTGGCCTTGTACTTGGGATTGTCCTTGAAAAGCCTGTCAAAATAATTTCCCTTGAAAATTCTCATTTTTCTAAAATTATTAAAGCTTGATATCCTACTTCACGAATGTTTCAATTCCGGTTTTTTGAGCATTGGGTTTGATTGCAGCCCAGGATTTCTTCAAGGCAGCTTGTTCTGCTGAGCTCAAGGCATTTCCCATTTTCTTAATTGATTATTTAATGAATAGAAAAATAAAAAATAATTGAAAATTTTTCTTCTTCGAAAAGGATTTTAAATCCTTATTAGACTGAAGTCGTATTGGAACACTTCTGAACAGTCTTAAGGAGATACGGAAGAGTAATCGAGAGATGGTATAAATTGTTAAATTGGCGTTATTGTCAATAATTTGGCGAATCTCTGATCTCTACTATTCCCAGAATTTAACCTTGAAGCGTTTTTTCTCTGTCTTTATGTGCCCATAAAAAATGGCCCATGTTTTTTTTTTGTGCGTGGGAAAGATCATAGAAGGTTAAATGTTGAAAATCGACGTGTCGGGGTGTGGGTGATTTCTGAGAAGTCACATTCGTTTTATCCTTATTGGAAATTCGTGCTTTTGCCTTTCAGCACTTTTTATTCCCTTCTCTTTTGTTTCATTCATCATTGTTTGAAATCATGGGTAATGGACTGAGTTCCGCTGAACAGGCTGCCCTGAAGAAGTCGTGGGGTGCTATTAAGCCGAATGCCCAGAAAACCGGAATCAACACCTTCGTCAAGTAGGTCTTCATACAGTGTTGCTGCATTATCGCCCTTATTTTTTGTGTGTGAATTTTTTGGCACTTGAGTGACACCTTTTCATCATTTTATTCTGCATACTGTAGTTATGTAGCTTTTCTGCGAATTTTTGAACACACTGTCGTGTGCTGTGATTTTTATATGCACCCGAATGTTATCCTTATCTGCATTTCATAATAATGTAAAAACCAGCTCTATGTTAAAAACACAATTAAATAATACTGCTCGCATTTCGTCATCCGTCAGCAAGTGCTTAAAAGTTGAAAACCATTACTGAAAGTTCATCCAAATCCCTCACAGGTTACTGAAGTAAACGCAAGTGGACTAAATTAAAATTTGATGGTTCAGAAAAACCATTTTTGTTGAAGATATTATATGTAATGGGTAAAGAGAACCAAATGGGAACAACAAAAAATTCATTGTTGAACCTTGCCTTGGGGAGATTGTGAATTGAAAATTTTTCCATTATTGCCGGAACAATAATTGATAGCAACAATAATAACAACACTTCATTTTAACACGTTTTTATTAACTTGCTTTCTTGTCCGTTTGTTTGTCCAGATCAAATTTTGCAACTCAAATTTTGCTCACTTCCTGACTAGCTAGCAAG